TCATCCAGTTTCTCACAGCAGACTCCTTGTCTTTCCATATTTTATAATCCTGTTCATTTAACCTTCTAAATAAGCTTAGTCTGTCCTCTTCATTTTTACCACTACATTTCTATCTTAGCTGCTTGTTGTCTTTCTTGGACACTTGCAAGTGGTCACTTGCATCCAGTGTGACCCAGCCACTCATACATTAGTGCAGCCAGAATGAATTGATTTTTCTAAATACATAGGTCTGAACATGTTATCTTGGAATTTAGGATGAAGATGAAGTTGCTTAATGTGGCTGTGCTAAACTTTTGGACCATTTTGTACCAACCATTTTCCCTATTAGATTTTTTTCTGTTTCTTGACTAGAAAACCTTTTATTTCTTCTCTATGTAGGAAATCTTATAAATTTTTTGAGTCTCTGCTCAAGCATAATTTCCAAGTTATACTTGATTTCCCTCATTTTTGAGCTTTTTCTTTATGCATTCATTTATGCAATTTTATCTTTATTGCATATTACCCACCAGATTATAAGAGTGGATAATGTGCTTGTGTTCATTTTCAGGCACCAGACTTACCAGAAGATAGTACCTGACACATAACAAGCTGTCAGAATTATTTGAATGATTGTAGAATCCTCACAAAACTAATTTGTATTATTATACCTTATTGTTAGGCTGTTGTGGTACCATCTAACATTTTATAATTTTAGGGACTCATGGTGGAAAGAGATTCTAAGCCAGCTGTGTTGCTTAAAAGTAAAGTCATCAGTCACTCCTTGAATACATCAGTCTGGCTAGTCTTTAACACATTTAGGTGGTTAGAAAGTATAATTTCAACTGAAATTTCTCCTTGGAACTTTTATCTACTGATCTTACTTCTTTTTGGGGTGTGGGGCTTCCAAAAACATAATTTCCATTTTCATTGTAAAGTCTTCTGAACTCTGTTTTAGTGTAAATATCCTTATAGCCTCCTTCAGCTTTCTGGGATAGGGTGTGCTTGAAATATGAAGTTTGGGGGCTAAATATAAATACCTTCCTTAACAAATTACAACAAACTTATTGGTTTAAAACAAAAATATATTCTCTCACAGATCCAGAGACCCTTTGTTCAGAATCAAGGTGTTTGCAGTGCTATGCTCCCTCAGAAAGCTCTAGGGAAGAGTCTTTTATGCTTTGTGTAGTTTTTGGTGGCTTGCCGTCACTTGTGGCTACATTAGTCAGGTGTTTGCCTCCATGGCCCCATTTTCTCCTACTCTCCTGTCTGTAATCTCCATCTGTCTGAGTTGTATGAGGACAGTTGTTGGTTTGTATCATCTTGTGACAATATAATTTCAGGATCCTTAATTTAGGGCTGGGGATATGGCTCAGTGGTAGAGTGTTTGCCTAGCATGCATGAAGCCCTGGGTTCAATCCTCAAAAAAAACCTTATTTGGTTACATCTGCAAAGACACTTTTCCCAAATAAGGAAACATTCATTAATTCCAATGATTTAGAACATGGCCATGTCTTTTTGAGAGCTACCATTCAAGCCATTACCAGGCTACAGGCTTAAATTATGGTAATACCACCTACTAGTTTTGCAACCTTGAACATGTTGCTTAACTTTTGAGTCTGAATCTCCTTAAAATTTTAAGTCAAGGACAATAATGCTTTTATCACTGATGTGAAGATATAAAGAAAATTCATGTGAAGTACTTAGCATATGGTAGCTAATGCATTAAATGTTGCCTTCTACGTGTCTAACTACCCAGATCCTACTGTGCTTGGTCAGCATCCCTGGACATCATGTGTGTCCTAGAATCTCACATGAGTTGCAAGACTGATCTGATAAATGCAGGTTTTCTTATGTTATGGACACAATTTAGCCAACTATGATGTTGCCCAAATTTAAATTTAGGTTTATCTGTAGCTGCATCATAGGGCTTTATTGAACTTAGAATTGGTTAAAATCCCCAAGCCTTTTTCATTTATGATTAAATCTATATTGTGTAGTGGAATTTGTGGGTTCAAGTGCATGTTGTCAAAAATTACATTGTATATCACAAGTGCTGATAATATCAAGTCATAGTACCTAGTGCATATTGGGAGCTAAAGCTCCCAATTTTTAAATGCTGAGTTTTTTTAAATATATTTTTTAGTTGTAGATGGACATAATGCCTTTATTTATTTTTATTTTTTATGTGGTGCTGAGAATGGAACCTAGTGCCTCACACATGCTAGGCAAGCGCTCTGCCTCTGAGCTCCAGCCCCAGCCCATGAATGCTGAATTTAATGTTGCCTGTGGTTTAAGAAATTTAGCTCCTTTGTGCTATTCAGAGTATTTTTTAAAACAAGTGCTGTGATTAATGTAAAAAGGAAAAAAAGTTACCAGTGGAGTAGCAACTATATCGGTTAATGTTGGGCAGTTGAATGGCATCACTAGAGTCTCCTGTGAACAAGATGCTCTTCAGGTAATCAATGGCTGATCACTTCTGGTTAATAGACAGTTCTTGATAATGTCTTCAAGTGTGAGATGTATGTCATTACTAATGTGACAAGTGTGTATCCAGTGATTTTTCAAATCTATTTTCATACTAGCATTTTTTGGCATTTGAATTTGAGATAAAAGACTAGAGAAATCAGTGATGTAGAGATGGATTTTTGAAAATATCTAGTCCTTCCCACCACTGCCTTGATACTGGGATTGAGCTCAGAGGTACTTCACCGCTGGGCTACCTCCCCAACCCTTTTTAAGTTTTTTCTTTTGAGACAGGGTCTTACCAACTCTTTGAGGCTGGCCTTGAACTTGTGATTGCCTCAGCCTCTGGAGTCTGAGCCACTGTGCCTGCCTAAAAATATCAAGTTGTGAGTAAGTATTACATGCATGCGGTTAAGAAGACAATGTAAAAAGGAATACAGTGCAAAGCGACTTTCTCTTCCATAGTTTCCCTTTCTGGAAACCACCACCCCTATTTTTTTTGTCCTTCTAGGTAGGCTAAACAAAAATGTTTGTATCCGTCCCTTTTAAAAACAAACATGAAGCTGGGCATGGTGACACACACCTGTAATCACAGCTGTTTTGGAGTCTGAGGTAGTGAATTCAAGTTCAAGACCAGTGTTGGCAACGTAGTGAGACCCTGTCTCAAAATTTCAAATAAATAAATAAATAAATGAAAAGGGTAAATCTCTTCTTAGTTAAATTCCCAGTACTGCCATAATACAAAAATTAAACATAAATGATAGCATATATACATAAACAAGTGCTTTCTTAACAAGATATAGAATTTTTAAAAAATATAGGACCAATGTAGGATTTCAAGGGTTTTTTTTTTTTTTTTGCCCTTTTTTGAGAATCAGGGAACCAAATTCTGTTTACACTATAAATTAGGTTGTGTGGGATCCATTTCCAAGAGAATTGTGAATGAGCTAGCTCCTGTGTAAGAACTCTTTTTAAAAGGCTGACTCAAAGTTATTTATTTAGAAAAGAATAAATAAAAACTCACCAATTCAAATTGGCTTAACACAATACCTTATTATTGCTTGGGCCTTTTTCATGCTTACTAAATGAATTACTCATTTTGATTATATTGACATCAATAGGTCTAGTTTGTCTAGGAATAACTAAAATATCCAGGAATAGAAAGGCTATGGCACACATTCTGCCTTGGATTATTATTTGTTTTTCTCCCTCTTATATTTTAAGCCAGTAATTTTTTCTTTCTTTCTTTTTTTTTTTTTTTTTTGGTACCAGGGATTGAACTCAGAGCCACTGGGCCACTGAGCCACATCCCTAACCCTATTTTGTGTTTTATTTAGAGACAGGGTCTCACTGAGTTGCTTAGTATCTTGCTTTTGCTGAGGCTGGCTTTGAACTCGAAATCCTTCTCAGTCTCCTGAGCTGCTGGGATTACAGGCTTGTGCCACCATGTCCAACTAAACCAATAATTCTTTCCTTTTCTTTCTTTTGGGGATTGAACTCGGGGGCATTCAACAACTGATCCACATTCCCAGCCTTATTTTGTATTTCATTTAGAGACAGGGTCTCACTAAGTTGCTTAGTGCCTCACATTAGCTGAGGCTATCTTTGAATTCATGTTCCTCCTGACTCAGCCTCCGCAACCACTGGGATTATAGGCTGTGCCACCATACCCGTAGTAAGCTAGTAATTCTTAATCTTTGGTCTCAAAACCCTTTTATTCTCTTAAAAATTATTGAGGACTTTAAAGGGCTTTTGTATATGTTGACTACAGATATTAAGACTAAGAAATTTAAAGAATGTTCATTAATTGATTTTAAGATAATAGTAAATTTACTGCATGTTGAAAGGTGTTTCTATAGCCAGTGTGGTGGTGCATGCCTATAATCCCAGTATCTCAGGAGGCTGAGGCAGGAGGATCACTATTTCAAAGTCAGCCTCAGCTATTTAGAGAGGCCTTAAGCAACTCAGCAGTCTCTTAAGTGAAATACTTAACGGCTGGGGATGTGGTGCAGTGGTTGAGGGCCCCTTAGTTAAATCCCTGGTACCAAAAAAAAAAAAAAGATTTCTACAAAGCAATTTTCTGAAACAAGTTAGTGAGATTTTGTTTTCAGTTTTTACAAATCTTTTTAATGTCTGGTTTGAGAGGAAATGGTGGATTCTCATACCTACTTTTGCACTCATTTTGCTGCAGAATGTTGATTTGGTTAAAGTAAAAAAAAGATCTTCTCATACCAAATATGTAGTTGGAAAAGAGGAGTATCTTAAGAGCCATTTTAGATTTTTTTTTTTTAGTGTTAGGTTGACACAATATCTTTATTTTACATTTATGTGGTGCTGAGAATTGAACCCAGTGCCTCACGCATGCTAGGTGAGTGTGTTACCACTTGAGCCACATCCCCAGCCCTCCATTTTAGATTTTTATGCTTCTTGTTCTTTGATGTTATGCCCAAACTCATTAGCAGTGATTTCTCTTTCTTTCTTCCTTTCTTAAAAAAAAATTTTTTTTTTGTAGTTATAGTTGGACAGAATGTCTTTATTTATTTGTTTATTTTTTTGAGGTGCTAAGGATCGAACCCAGTGCCTCACACATGCTAGGCAAGCACTCTGCCATTGAGCCCCAGCCCCAGCCTCAGCAATAATTTCTTTAAAGGTGAGTTGTAATATGGAATAATGAAACCATAACTGTACTCTGTTATGCCCAAACTTACTGGTTTGTCATGCACTTTGAATGGCTCTTTTAACCTATGCATGATTTTGTAATATTGTAGCATTGGTCATTGGAAAGTATTAGTTCACTGAGTTGTACAGATTTTCTAAATGCTGATGCAGAAATCATATTAATATTACCAACTGATTTCATAAGAAAAGCCTTTTAAGTAATGAAAAGCTATCAAGCTCACTGTGGCAGATAAGTTTTCCAGAATTCTAATTATCACTTAAAATTTATCAAATTTCATCATTGACAACAAATATTGCTAGTGACAGGCTGACTTTTAATTTTTGAGAAAATGTCAAATACCCAGGTCTGATCATATAATTTGTGTGACAGCCATTCTTTCAAGTAAAAATAATATTCCTTCAGGAAAAAGTAGCTAATTTTAGCTTGATTCAGAGAATGGTGCCCATATTTTTGTGACCATCATCATACTTCCACATGTAACAGAAATACTTTGTGCATGTTCTGTTTGTTGAATAGAATAAGAAAGACATGAACTCAAGGGTGAATATTTAATAAATTATTAATTTTTACTCATTCATTGAGCCCATTCATAAATAAAATAAACTGCCTTATCCTGCCTTTTTTTGTGAGCACATGATGGTGAAGAGTATAATAGCTACTATATTGTGGCTACTATAGTAGTTAGTAGCTGTTATCTTAAATTGTGCTGTCAGTAGTTTTACCCCACCATTGCTTTGTATCATAAGTGTAAATATAAACACAGTGGGGGGAAAGACAACTAGCTTTTAATTATTATGAAAATGATGTAGATCTCATGGATCCCTTGAGAGTCTGTGGTTCACTTTGAGAACTGCTATTGATGTTTTCCTGCAGTTCCTGATCCAGAACGTGACATGGAAAAGGTGCTCAAGAATATTTACTTAATGAATGTGATATGCTGGCATTTAAACATGTCAAAATTTGGTGAATGAAAGTATGTAGACTGATGTCCATCCAGGCAGTTTGATTGAGCAGCTTTTCCACAGATATTGTGAGAATAAAGTGAACAAATGGAATGTAGGTGATATGTGTTGGCAATGCAAATGATGAAATAAAGAACTCAATATAAGGTGATAGTACCTACAGAGCTAACACTTTGAGCCTTGTTAGGTTGCTATTAGTGAGTCCTCTGCTTTTTGTCTTTAGTGGTGTAAAAGAGGATTCTAAATAGGATGGATTTAACCTGAAAAGCAAATTTCAATTTCAATAGGTCACTGCTGTGCTTGATTTTATTTTTTCAAAGTAGACTACAGAAGGTAAAATGTGAACAAATAATTTCATTTTCCCTTGTGAGTTAAATAAATTTTGTTGTTCCTCTTCTAATTCATATTCAATATGTTGGACTTGCTTTCTTCTTTCTTCTCTCTTTTTCTTTTCTTCTTGTTGGGGGAAGTTGGTTCAAGGAAACCTTTTTCTATAACTTTTTATATTCTTTGAATTTGAGGAAATTGCTTCCCAAATAAGAAAGTCTGACCACACAAGGTAAATTGTCATATTATTTTATCCTCATGGGAATTAAAGTATAAGATTAGGTTAGGACATTGCTTTAAAACGGGGGTTATTGGTTTTCTGTTCTTTTAAGGAAATAAATTAACAAAGGGAATGGTCACATCAAATACTTAGAATACCTTTAAAATAGTTTAACACAAAACTGTTGTAGGAATTTTGAACTTTGACCCCATTTTTGTCTTAAATGGATTTTAAATCAATATCAGGTGGGGGTGGGGAGGATGGTATAAACCTGTAATCCCATTTATGTGGGGATCCTGAGACTAAAGGCTCTCGAGTTTGAGGTCAGCCTGGGCAATTTAAAGAGACCTCATCTCAGAAATTTTTAAAAAGGGATGCTGGGTTAGCTCAGTGGTAGACTGGCCCTGAGATCAATTCTGAGTACTGAAAAAAAAAACAATAATGTTAAATGCTGAGGACCAACAAATTACTCATCTTATGTTGAACAACAACAACAAAAAAAATTAACTATCTTTTAGTTGTCAATGGATCTTATTTATTTATTTATTTATATGCAATGGTGAGAATTGAACCCAGGGCCTCACATTTCAGGAAAGTGCTCTCCTACTGAACCACAACTCTAGCCCCCCAAACAAATTTTTTTTTATATTGAAATATTATCTTGAATTTGAGACAATATTTGAACTGAAGTTTTTGCCTTTATGAATAAGAGACATTTTTGTGAGCTATTTAATTTTCGTAATTTTTTTTTAAATAAAATTGAGTGAGACTGTATAGCAAACTCATGTATATCCTAGAATATATCTGAATGTTTCTCAGAAACTTGATTTTTTAGGGAGAAACCTATTTAGTGTTTCATTGTACTTCTACCTGGTTGGCATAGCATACCACAATGATAAACTATCTGATAACCAGGAAAATAATAATTGTTTAATTATTAAAGTAAATGAATTTCTCTGAGACATTGCCAATGTAGTCATTTGTAAGTATGGACACTTTTAAGAAAAGTAAATAAAAATCCTGTGTGTTTGTAAGTTCTAGGTTGCCACATCTGATCTCATGTCACTGTCAAAACACAGGCACATTACAAAAATATTATATAAAATTAATTTCAGGCTATTTGTATAAGGAAGTATGAAACATTAATTTCATATTTAGACTTGGGTCCCATTCCCAAGGTGTCTTGTTATGTATATGCAAATATTTCAAAATCTAAAGCACTTCTGGCCTCAAACATTTTGAACAAGAGATACTCGACCTATATTTTATTCCCCTGCATTTTTACAAACTTTTAATATATATATATGATTATATGATTATAAACTAAATAATGTACATATTATATGTAAACTGTATTTTCTATGGATATATATATCCATATAAATATATATCCATAGAAAAAGTATATTGTTTTATATCTTTTAAAACTTTGTATAAGTGGTTAAACTTTATTGATATGTGTAGTTATACTCATTTTAAATGCTATTAATATCTAATATAACGGCATGTGAAAATAATTTTGTAAGGCATCTTAAAAATAAAGTAGTAAGATGACAAAAATTTGTAAACCTACCATCCAGAAATATCACATTTGATATTTTTTTCCTTCACTTCCTCATTTCCAACTTTTGTATGTATACTTTTGGTACCTTTTAATATCAAAGGGATCGTGTTTTATGGATTACATAAAATTGTAAAACAGCCATATAAAGACTATAATCCCAGTTTAGTTGATTCCTAGTTGAATAAGGAAAGAATATGGATGAATACTGCATATCAGATATACATAGATATTGATGATTTATTTCTTAGTATAGAAGCACCATATAGGTGGCATCTGGGAAGAGGTGGGTCATATTGTTTAGTGTGTCTTAAAAATTAAAGATTTTTCTAATAAGCATAGTTACTAGGTAGATGACACTTATCTCTTTAAACATTTAGAGCTATTTTGTTTTTAACCATTTTTAATGGAAAAAAATTGGAAAAGAAGCCTATGATGAGTATCATTGTTCTGTTTAAACTGTAATACTATGTACTACTTATAATTTTATCTTTCCTTGTTCATCACCATGAAAAGCACTGATGACTGAACTCTGTTGAAATTTCTGTTAGCCTCTTGTGCACCCTTAGTTAGATCTTTATCAGCATTCCATGCCACTGCAAGGAGGGAGTTGGAAGAGCATGATAAAATCTAAAGGCAGTTCTCACCAATGGCAGTAGTGGGAAAGGCCACCAGCAGCCTTGTCTCTTCATTGGATGAAGCTGACCCACCCTCCTGATCTCTTCAGTCTCTTCCTGCCAGTACATCCTTTATGTGCATGTGTTAAACATTATATGATTATTAACTAAATAATGTACATATTATATGTAAACTGTATTTGAAGAATATAGTTATGTATAAACTATTATATATAAATGATAACACTATATAACTAAAAATATTTGGCATCATGGTGAAATTATTGGAAGAGTTCCTGACTGCAGTTGAAAAACCCTCTATTCCACATTTACTATGATTTCTAATGGGAACGTTTTAAAAACCCTTTTTAATTTTATATATCTTATTTTTTAAAGTAGTTTTATATTTGTAGAAAATTTTGAATGGAAAATATGGAGAGTTCCCTTCCTATCTATTCTGCTATCCCCAGTTTCCCTTAACATCTTACTTTAATGTAAATTTGTTACAGTCAATTAGCCGATATTAACTAAAACTCATAGTTTACATTGGATTTCTTTGTGTTGCTGTCTATGGGTTTTGACAAATGCATATTGATATATCTATCATCTGTTACAGTATCATTCAGAATGGTTTCACTACCCTAAAAATCTCCTATACTCTCCTTCCCTCCTTACTTGCAAACCCTTGGCAGCCACTGATCTTGTTACTGTCTCCCTAGTTTTACCTTTTCTGAAATGTCATATAGTTGGAATCATACATTTGTAACCATTTCAGATTGATTTCTTTCTCTTAGAAGTAAGTTTCTTCCATGTCTTCATGGCTTGATAGCTTATTTTCTTTTTAGTGCCGAATGTAATGTCCCATTGTATGGATGTACTATGGTTTATCCATTCACCTACTGAAGGACATCTTGGTTGCTTCCAAGTTTTTGTTTTATTTTTTGCAATTATGAATAAAGTTGCTTTGAATATTTGTGTGTTGGTTTTTGTACGGATATAAGATTTCAACTCATTTGGGTAAATACCAAGGAGTGCAATTGTTGGATCATGTGATAAGAGTATATTTAGTTTTGTAAGAAATTGCCCCACTGCCTTTCAAAATGGCTGACATGCACTTTTAGCTTGCACATGCTTTTCAAAAACACATTTTTCAGGTACATAAAGGAATGATTGCCTTGTGATCGGATGTTGTTCTTCCAAGAAATTGAGGTTAGTAGGACTGGTATTTCCTACATAAATAATACTGGTTGGTTGTACTTTGTTCTTGTGTGTTTTATGTTGTA